TTTGAATTTTGAAATTCATCCGAAATTTGAACCCAAATTTATCCGAAATTTGAATTTTGAAATTCATCCGAAATTTGAACCCAAAAATTTATCTGAAATTTGAATTTTCAAATTCATCCAAAATTTGAACCCAAAAATCTTATCCTGAAATTTTATCCGATTATGAATAGTCTTGACACGTAGGAACCCGGAAATCTTATCCGAAAATATTATCCAAATTAATTATTTAGGTAAAAAAAATTGTGAAAAAAAACAAAAAAATGAATAGTAATTGCCCTTAGCCATGGCAACGGGTGGAAACACAAAATACTATTTGCAAGGGCAACCACTATTCACATGAATAGTAGCTGCCCTAGCTCCCCCCTTGCCATGGCTAAGGGCAAATGGGTTGAGTTGCTCTTAGGCTTCGAGAAAAAATTGGGTTTGGGCTAATATTATATAAATAAATAATATATATTTAAGCTGATCCGGTTCCCTTTTTTTACTACAAGAATTGGAATTGGAATCGAACCAAATCGGTCCGGTTTGATTTTTTGTCAATTCGGTCCAATTTTTGGTAAACTTGGTTTTTTCTGCCCAATTTAGATCAGTTTTTTTGATTTTCCGGTTTGAATGCCCACCTCTAGCAGCTAACATGGAAAAACAAAAAGAAAAAAAAAATGTCACCGCAGCTTTAGCAGGGGAAAAAATTAGTGCTGTTTTCGGTTCGGTTACCGCACCGATCATGTTGAACCGGTTACCGTCCGACAGCCATCGGAATGGACGGTTTGGCTACCGCAACAGGTTCCGCAGGCTGCAGTTTACCGCACTGCGGTTGAACCGCAATGCCGGCCGGTTCGGTTCGGGTGTGGGCTTACCGCGAAGCCCAATTCGTTTTCAATTTCAAGCCCGTTTTGCAGATTTTGATACAGTTTTAGGCCATTCCCTGTTTTGCAGATTTTGCTTCATTTTCAGGCCATATTTTGTTTCAACTTTCAAGCCTTTGTTTCACCTTTCAAGCCTTTGTTTATTATACTAGTTTTTAGGCCACCTAATTTTTGTCATTCACAACTTTTGATTTTCGAGCATCATATTCATATCATATCATCAAAATACTTGAGTAAAACTTAGAAGTTACAACTCTCAAATACTTGAGTAAAATTGAAGTGCAATGAAAACTTTAATAAGTTACAACCCAAATAGAAAATGAAGTGCAATGAAAACGTATTTAAAATTAAATTACAACCCAAATATGAAATGATTAATGAAGTGCAATGAGAATATTTAAAATTAATTACAACCCAAATATGAAATGTGCAATGAAAACTTAAATTGTTACAATACAACAAATTTTGAGCTAAGATGTGGAATCAAATCGAGGAGGTAGTGTTGTAGAAGTTTGAGTACCGGCCACATCTAGTAAAAAAA